CCCCAAAACCCCAAAACCCCAAAACCCCAAAACCCCGCAATCCATAATTTAAGTTGAAACTTAGCTCTCGTTCTTGATTTTGAGAATGGCTGGGATTAATAAGCACACGAAGATGATCCCCATTCCTAAGTAGTCTGTCCACACAAAGGTGTATTTGAAAATGAAGAAGTCGGCCAACAGAGCGAACACATTTTCGAGATAGTTCACTGGAGCTAGATGGGAGGACTTTTGATACATCAGAGCCATGGCAAGTGCTGGTAAACAGATTGTATATCCCAAAGCATTCATAAATAGTAGCAAGAGATCTAATGCTGAGTAATCAGGGAAGTGGATTTTTCCTGGAATCAGAAAATACACCAGACCACAAAATATTCAAATTCCCACAGAACTATATAAAGGTCTGACCAAGAAATGCACATTGTAAATAGCAAGCATCCTCAGCAACACCATAATTGTACCTTGAATAGATGAAGAAAGGAAAACCAAGAATATCCCTAGAAACGCACTTGATTCTTCATCATCAGTTGCACTTGACTTATTCAGAGCCAAGAGGTATATCCCTGTGATTGCTCCAAAAGTAAAACCCACTGAAGGATAGTCAATCCTTTCCCTGAGGATGATAAAGGCCATAATGATGCAGAAGAGAGGATTCAAGTCAAATATTAATGTAGTCTTGGCAATCGATATCATAGCCATGCCACTCATCATTAGGGTCATCACACATATCGAAGCCAGGCAGCTAATAAATACAGTTAGCCGCACTTTACACTCATACTTGCACAGGTTAATCTCGGTCCCCACTATTATGTTGAGGATAAGGAATATGGGAACATTTACCACTCCAATTGCTAAGAGAAGGTCAAAAGGAGTAATATTTTCATTATAAAAGAAAGCCATTTTGGCAAACAAGTGTCTCATTGTTAGCCCAAACAGAGCAACTACCATTAATGAATATCCAATAAGAGCATTCTGCTCCGGAAGATTTTTATGTGGATTCAAAGAAATAGATTTCACAATCGATATAGACTTGGAGAGTTGACTAACTTCTTGGTCTGAATTCTCTTTACGCTGCTGGATCAGGCTAGATTCTTTGGATTCTTCAATTCCATCAAACTCTTTGAGTGAATTCATTTCTTATTATTAACTGAGAAATTATTCAATAATATCTTTAAAATCCGGGGTTTTGGGGTTTTGGGGTTTTGGGGTTTTGGGG